GTAGTTTTGCACTTGGGTATTTTTTACAAATTACTTTTGATCTTAGTCATCATTTTAATAATATATAGAATTGCTGCAAGAAAAAACCATAGAATGCTTCAGCCCCCAAATGTTTCACTGTCCACACCGCGATGCGAGCTGTCATTTCACGTGATGTTCCGTGTTGAGGGAGTACACAAAGTGCGACCTCAGATTGTGAGCAGACAAGCCAACGAATCGCTTTTTGCTGATGAGGTATTTGTCTCCCCGGTTGGTTTTAGTGTGTCTACTAAGGCGCATCAATAAATCCCTATTCATTGTTAAAACATAAATAGAAGTCGAAGGTACAAGGTGCTTGTGAATTGATGTTCTATTACCGTTCTCTAATAATTAAAAACAACCATAAATTTTCAGCAATTTTTTATTTAAAATAATTCACTTTCCATGAGTATTCATATATCACACAGGATTACCCGGATAATAACATGCACATTTTTACATCATTAGGGTTTTCTAAAGCAAGTTGTAGGGAGAAGTAATCTACTAAAATAGGCTATCACAATGAAAGGAGCGAAAGTGAATTGGATTAGCGGCCCGACATCATTACATTAGCATTTAGGGTAGTAGTTAATCTATAATTGTACATAATACTAAGAGTCAATTAATTACTCTCTCAGCTGAAGCTGAGGAACGATCACGCTTTTGTAAGGAGCAACCACTTTCTGAGATTTGTATCAGTTCATCACTTTCCGAATCCAGTGATTCACTTGATCGTGGCATAGGCAACGGTGCTAATCGTGGACCTGCAAAAAATGAAAAAAAAATTGCAAATATAGTCGAATGATCCAGGAGAAACAGTGTTAATGGTTAGAAATCATTCACGCCCAAGGACACCAAAAGTCACTAATTCGTTCAGTCCATACAACCCAACACCCTTACAGCTGATTGCAATAAAGCCTCCCCCATAAAGCTGTTCATAGGTTTTCCACAAGATTCAAAGTACTAACTTTTCTCCAAACTGATGCAAGCTTTTTGGTGCAAAAGATCAATGTTGTCACTGAAGATGTTCTGTATTATTACATCATAATCAAGAAAACATTAATTAGAAACTTGCCATTTCGCATACGGTAAGCTTCTTTCTCCACATCATCTGATTCGCTTCGAAGGGCGGAGTACCTTTAATTAACATGAGTCAGGAAAAGAAAGGAAGGGCAAGCAGTAGTTTTGACATGGGTATGACCATGTTATGGTGACTTTTTTCGGTGAATGTAGACAGAATTGAAAACACTTCTAGTAATACAATTTTTCTTGTTGTGCACATCATTGAGAAAGTAATACTGGAAAAGAGGATTGAGCGCAGCTAGGTCACGTCTCTTTCTAGCCATA